AATATATTTCGCAACACTTCCCGGCAACACTTCGTCAAATGCATGTTCAATAACAGCACTAACTGCCGGAGAGTTTTCGGATTATGCTCAGATCCATCGCTTTTGGCGCACCTCGCATAGCCTAAAACGACACAGAGAGTAATTAAGTTCATCGTCGTTCAGATCCTCGAGTTTGTGAGCTATTAAACTTAAACGCTGTCGGATGTTTCCCCTCGTAAAATTCTCTGATTACGTGAATTTCTCCAAGTTTAAAAAACACAGGCCCAACGTAAATTCTGTTTGGTATTTTGAGGCACACTTGTCTCGCATAATCCTGCAATTTCAGAATCCAACAACGGCACAGAAAATCTTTCATGATCACTATGCTTCCTACACTACCGCCGCCAAACACATTCTCACTCACGTGGACTTCTTCCTCCATCGCCACTAATATTGCTGTAATGTTGCTGAAGAAGATCCCTTTCCTCCGCAGTTTCCAGTGCTGTGCATAGAATTTCATCATCTTCAGAGTTTTCACTTATTGTCAAAAACAACTTATCGTCGCTGTCGGTCCCACTCATACCTGCTGCGTAATGAAGAGACATGTGCGCGGGAGACCATGTGTTTGTAAAGGCGAGATTTCCGAAAAGCACGTGCTTTACGTCCCCAGTTCATTAACCATCCTTGATGAAGAAGAATAGAAGAAGAATTGTTTATTCTCGAAAATCATACAGAATGATATAGAGAACATACAGTCGTTTAATACAATATCATATGGGTAGGTATTTTGATTTAGAAGTGGCTAAGCACAGTTTTAGCAAAAAGTAGAAGTTTCAATAGGAGTGGGGTAAAGTTTGATTTCATAAAGTGAGATAAATTTGTCCATATGTGGATTATTACAGAAATAAGAGGGAAGAATCCTCGACAGTAAGCTGTGTACATGATAAAATAGCATGGTAATTGGGCCACAAATAATATTATTTTACAAATTGTACATGAGGGGCCCGGAATGAAATCCTATGTACCCCTGAAGCTGATTAATCAAAAGAGCATCGGGCCGCTTTCTCAAGACTCTAACCTTTCGATAACTGGTAATGACATATTAGCGTTGATTTAACGACGATAGCGACTGTACATGCCTTTAGGTAGAATACAGAATATAACACACATTAGCACGTGCGTTCTTGACATAAGTTGATCGTATTCAAAACCTTGCTTAGCTTAAAAAACTGTAGTCCATTCATTTAATTACAGACGGTACCAAATAAATATTATTCTTTTATTTTATTAAAAGCAATATTTGTGTGCATGCATACTCTCAGTAGGTTATAAGACTCGGACGCATTCTGTAACCGCCTTAATCCACGGTTACAGAACGCGTTCTCGTCTTCTAACCTATACATAGAAGTCTGAAAATGCATTTCTGCAGAAATTTCTGGCTGAATTTTTTTTTCTGCAGAAATTTCTGGCAGAATTTTTTTTTTCTTCAGAAATTTCTGGCAGAAATTTTTTCTGCAGAAATTTTGGCAGAAAAGATTTATAATATGGTCTGTGTGCCTCTGTTGCTTCTATAATCACTCTATTTGGACAATGGAACACTGAATTGTATATGGAAGATGTATAAACCTTGAAACCACATTAAGCAGAGCCTTCATTATTGTACACCAACACACCTTAAAATTATCTAAATGAATTGCTCTTTGTGAGATTTTACTTTGAAATTATCTAATTGCAGTGTGCAAGTAGATGTGACTTTAAAAAATGTAACAGCCTTTTCATGAGGCTAGCCAAATATAAGAAATCCAACAATTCAATCAAGATGAGATATACTATCATAGAAAGCAGATTTAACATCAGACAGTGGAAAAATAACACAAACAAGGTCATATAACACAACTGCATGTATTGTTTCATAAATGCCATACACCACATTACAGTTACATGTGCTGTACATATACAAATATATATATATATATATATATATATATATTCCAAACACAAAAACATACACTTTGGTTATTTGCTTTTCTTTATGGCAGACTGGTTGTAACAAAAGAACAAGAACAACATTTAAAAAATGAAACTTATATATCGTAGTTGAGGGACATACATAAAAACTATAAAGATTTCTTGTTTAGATGTCGGTATCATTGTGACATCTTCAAAATACGTTTCAACCAACGCAAATTTCTCAGTTATTTCATCATTGTTTTAGATTTGAATATCCAAAGAAAAGATTATAGCAAATGTTTAATGTCATTGAAAGTAAAATGTATGAAAGTAGAATTGTATCATGTGACAAGTTTGACAATACTGTGTTACAAGAGAGACCTATGAAATATTCATATCTTAACACTAAATAACTTTTGTGATAATTAGATTTTTAGAGTTGCATTCAAACCATTACATCGATGACAAATTAAATTTACACCTCAAACACAATTTGATCAATGAGTAGGGTCAATAAGTACATCAAAACACATGATAATTCCAAGAAAAGAAGGAACTTTCTAACCATGACGGGACCATTATGTTTTTTATTTATTTTTACCTAGACAGGGATATTTACAAGGAGAATAATCAATTTCAGACTTAACAACAGAGATGAAAAAAATAATTTTCTATAAATATACTCTGCTGAAGTTCTGTTGAAATATATTGAAAGGTTTTCAACTTGTGACTCGGACACAAAATCCACCCCTTCTTTTTGAGACTAAGTCCAAATCGTTTTCATGGAAACCGAGAAAAAATAGAAATGACGGAAATCTGTAAATAGCAAAAGGCAGCACTTTGGGATCTACTTCAATTTAACTGTGTAAACTCTGGCAGTTTTATTTTTAGTTACATGTAGCAGAATTGTTTTACTTCAGCAAACATTATGGATAGTTTAGTATAAATTTCGTTAAATAACGTTTTCCCATTGAGAACAACTTAAAATTGTAGGGTAAAGGGTTACCAGAAGCAGGATGCTGCGAAAGAATTAAAATACCTAACATGTCATAAATCAAGAAGAAATAGAAATAAAGATAGAGATTTCTTTATACAAGATTTCTTCCCACTTGGTAATTCAAACTGATGAATTTGGGCTTATCTCAGTGTCCGGTTGTCTTGAAAGTCCAGTTGGGTTTCAGAGATGGTTCCTGTTACAGAAAACAAAAACACATATGACAGCGGTGTATTTTACTCCGAGCCCTCCCAATGAAAATAACTTCAGCATAAGGCATCCACGCCTCATTTATTCCAGGAAGGTTAATTGTATATGGTAAATGGTGGCAAGCAAACAACAGGCAGAGATATATACTTCGTGACTACTTGCATAAATGTTGACCTAAATGTGACAGCAACAGTGAAGTCTTTACCATGAGTTTACGAACAATGCCTTGAGTACTTACACTATGGTAGCCTGCAGTTTGTTAGATTTAGCAACTTTGAGTTGGGTGAAACCCCGGTGGCACGTGATTGCGCCTCTACATGGTACATAAAGCAAACTTTGGCACAGAAGAGCATTCCTGGATACCGCAAAAAAATAACAACTAACCTCTGAATAAATACACAAGTTACTTTGTAATGTAACATGTTGAGGGAATGGATTCATATTGTATGACTTGAAATAATCTGATTACTTACGTTTTCTTCTCAATATACTTGAAATGAATTCTTTTCTTTGTCATGTCACTAAATTCAATTAGCACATATTCTGAAAAACATGAAAAACACTTTCAGTCTTTTCATTTCAGGTATAAACACATTCAACATGCTTTAGAAATATATTATACACAATAAGAATGTAAGGTTTATAATAAATATGAATCATAATTTGAATATATAGGCTATTTGTATAATGTTAGAAATACCTCCATCAACACGCTCAACATGGCCAGGGTATCGAGCTGCTCTGTGCACCAACCATGGAGCCTCAACCTTGTCACCAGTCTTCAACTAAATCAAACATGTACAATATGTGTATTTATTCTCGTAGGCTTTCACAAATTGTAAAACATCATAGTGAAAATCTCAAGCAATAGAAATATGTAGCTTCTTCACAGCTCTTGAAGTTAATGTGATATAAACATTTACATATACATCTAAAGGAAATACATTGCACTCACTGAAGAAGACATACCTCAAACCTGACCTTCTTTGTTGAAAGCCACTCATCCAAGTTATAACCAGTCCAATGTATTTTAACTCTTTCCTTTTGTAGTGACAATACTTTGGCTATATACCTGTTTATAATCAAGATAAAAAGAATTATGATTTATGGAAACAAGAAGGTTCACACAAATATTTATCTCCACTGTTTTGTTTTAACTTAAGAATGCTCCACTGACATTTTCCTGGTTTCTTATTTAGTCGACATGACAGCATGTATGCATGTTCTTCCAAAATATACAGTTAACCTTAAAGTCCCATCAAACACTTTCTACCTGGAAAAATTAACGCCTCTTTTTAATTTCAATACTGAAACGTATATATTCTCCTTGAACAATAGCTTTCACTACAGACTATAGCTCAAGTAACTACCAGGACAGAAATGAAGTAACTGTAGTAATAACCAGAGAGATGGGAATTATCTTTGCTAGATTGAAACCTATCAAATTTGTTGTTGTAGATTTGCCAAATATGCAGAATCGCTTCAGGTATGAAAAATAAACTACTGCAATTCTTTGAGCGACACAAAAAGTATTATCCTTCAAGAAGTTTCAGAATGAAAGAGGGTCCGACTATTGATTTTGAGTCAAATGATGATCAGTACCTTAGCAAATCTATCTGAAAATAATCATAAGAATTGATTTAACTCAATCATGCATTTGTGATGATTTCCAAATGTGAAGTTTCTTTGAACAATGATGACAATAATAACATACCAAAAGCCGTCATCCTCTAATGCCTCCACAATCATTCCAACCTTGAATCTGCAGGGGGGTATCTATGGACAAAATCCATCATATGCATGGTTAGTAACATGGACTAGTCAGCTCACTGTTATTTTTGTAGTCTATTTTCAGAGTTTTCCAATTAAAAATTCACCAATAAATATCTTTCACACAAGTTGCTTGAAACACTGATACTGATGATCCATAATATATACTGGGTGCTGTGTGACAATAAGTCATAGCCAATAGAAACACTGATACTGATGATCCATAATATATACTGGGTGCTGTGTGACAATAAGTCATAGCCAATAGAAACACTGATACTGATGATCCATAATATATACTGGGTGCTGTGTGACAATAAGTCATAGCCAATAGAAACACAGATACTTATGATCCATACTATATACTGGGTGCTGTGTGACAATAAGTCATAGCCAATAGAAACACTGATACTGATGATCCATAATATATACTGGGTGCTGTGTGACAATAAGTCATAGCCAATAGAAACATTGATACTGATGATCCATAATATATACTGGGTGCTGGGTGACAATAAGTCATAGCCAATAACACTGATACACCACACACACAAGAAAAAAAATGGTGATTTCCAAAAATTTCCAATTTGGAAAGATGATATTTCCAAAAATTTCCAAAATTGGAAAGATGATATTTCCAAGGCTTGGAAATCTTTGGAAATTTAGGAAGGATTTTACCACTACTTCTTTCAGTTTCTCCTTTTCCCAAGGATCCCCGTGAGTGTATAGACTGTGTATTCGTCCTCCTAGGAGTGTATTCGTCCTCCTATGCGATCAACTATAACCAGGGAGACTATAAGACGTTGTAGATTATTCCTGGTATAACTTCTCTCGTCTGCATCCTTGTTGTTCTAGGTGTCAAAAATTGGCATTAACTGTCATATTTGCCCTGATATGGATAGCATTTTCCAAAATACAGTTTTAAGTGTATGGTTTACTTATTATCCACAAAAGCGCAAATAGTTTTGACCTGTCACGGTTTGCATAAACACAAATTACATAGACCTACGTTACATCATTGATTAAATAAAAGTTTACCGGACCCACTGACTGACTGGCCATGGTTTATTACATGTCATAAAAGTGAACCATTGCCAGGGAATAATAGGCTTATTGTAGTAGAATGCATTCTTTAATGGTACCCTCTAATTAACACCTGACACAAGGGATGGACCGTTTAGGTGGTTTATCATTGCGAAATCAACAGTCAACAGACCATGAAATGTTGTTTTAAGACTGTGAGCGAATAGAGAGCAACCCGTTTGGGTTTGTGGTCAGAGACGGTGTTATGCAGTTGGTGTATTCACGAAATATCATGAACTTAATAATAGATAATTGGTTATATTGTCCACACATTGGTAGGCGGACTGGGGCAAAAGAACCCAAATGAATCCTTCTTAAAACTTCATAGTGTAACTAATTAATTTGGTCACATACAATAAAAGGTGACTAAATGTTTAATTTTAGATAACGTTAAATAATTTCTAGAGAAACCACTACACAAGTTCATATCACAGATGATTCCAGAGACAAATAGTTTATGAGATTCTAGTTTATGAAAAGCATTAAATTCCAAACAAGCCAATCTGTTCGCTAATGCTCGGGAATTATTACCACTTACATACCATAGTTTGAGATGTCGACTCAGGAAGCCGACCTTTCGATTCTTATAAGGCTCAGGACATTGACGCTTTAAAGTTTGGGTGTTATTTTAGCACATGGCTAATCTCATGTGACGTGTTATTACAAGCTGGTGGTTGATGGAAGTGAACACATCGCACACTGAAGCCGACCGTGTAAAAACATGATCAAAACAATCATATGGTAAACACATTTAACAAGGCACTGATCCAGAGCAATTTCCGCGCACTGGTTGTTGCTTTTGTTATTGCTTTTCTCCCCTGAGTACCCGGATGATATCCCAGTACTTTCGATTGGTTCGTGACCTTTGCTGCGCAACCCGCATGCGCAATTGACCGTATAGGTGTAGATTGATCAACAAAATAAAATCTTTTTTACTCGATAATATTTCCATCATTTTGAAAATGAAATGAAAACACTTTGAAGTTTAATCATCTGCCAGTGGTAAAAAATGTCAGGACTGAAAAAAAACGAAGTCAATGTATGTCTATATATTTTGTCTTATAATCCTAATTATTATATTGCCATATTTGGAATGCATTTTGAAACTTAATAAAAAGCATACGATTATACTTATAGCGTATTTATAACATGACTGTAATATCTAGACATTTTATAGAATGCCAACAAGAATCATATTTCACACACCCTAGGTATGACCTAGTGTATGTTGTCTGTCTCATTACGGCGAAAACAAATGATTCTGTTGAATGCTACCACAAATGAATAAAAACAAAATGCAAATATTAGAAATAAAACCGACTAAAGTCTGCAACAATGTCAGGTTATTACCTTGTTCGAGGAATGTATCCATCAATATCCACATAGGTTAAGTCCCGATTTTGACAGCCTCAAATTTGGATATAGGAGCCAATAGAGCTTTGATCTGGATGTGTATGCTGTTTGTCCCCTCTTCTGACAACAGTCCCATCTGCTATTGTAGTGACTGAGGCTGTTTTCAGGCACTGATATCTCCATATAATGGTACCATTCATGCTGGCAGTTCGTCTCGTATTAGTTTGTATTAGTGTTGAAGAATTTTACTTGTTCTGTACTTCTCTCAGGTGATTGCATTAACATAACTACCTCTTAATTGGTGCAGCTAGTTATCCCAGGTTTGAGAGCGAAACTTCGCGAATCAGTGACCAAGACGCTGTCAAAAATGGGACACTACCTCCACATAAAGGAACAATATGCCATTGATCTGCAGCTGACAAAGAATCCCGTTCCATGCTAAGTGTCTTTTTAACAGTCTAATACCCGAAAAGGGATACATCGATTCAGTTTTCACATTGGTGTATAATCTCATTGGTCAACTAATTGCATGATGTCCGCCATTCTTTAAAAGGTAATCTAATTAGCCAATAATGAGCATTAAATCCACTTGTGTTTTTCTTGGCTTGGTCATCCTCCCCACACTCCCCACCCACCCGTACCATTGTCTTGCTAATTAACATGGTCTGGTGATCCTCTTTACGCCTTAAATAAACAACTTGCCCGACTGGCAAAAGAGGAACACCCCCATCAACTTACTGGCGGTTAATACATTGAAGGAAAGATGTTGTTTTTACACAGGTACAGGGTACAGGACAGGGTGTAATCAGTATAGATTAGTAAATCTACATACATAAACATTACCTTTTGACAAATCCACTGTGCAAGAAAAAAGTAATTAATCAATCAGCGTGTTATCGGTTAATCCTTTGATCAATGTTTGTTTTGTATCTCAGCTGATAATTCGTCTTGCTGCAGTTCCATGAGCATATTACATAACATGTAATACATTTGTCACATCAGACCATCAATTCATAATGCTGAGTACATGTATTTACTCCAGACACAAGAAATGCGAAATGGGAACCTTTGGCGGGTAACCTGAGTGGTATTACCATCATAGCTGTTATAAATGCATTAATTGACCATCAAGTGAATGATGACAAATAACATGTGTAGGTTTATACCACCAAACACTCAGCTGGTTACAGCAAAGGGGATAGTAATCGCTGAATTGCATGCAATGTTAATTGCTTGAAAAAAGTTATGGGCCGACACTGTTTGGAGGATACGAACGGAACTTCATTGTTGCATAAGAAATACATATAAGCATTGGATGTGTACTGAAGTTAAAATTGTGTATACCTAAGTACATTTTCATTTGTCATAAATATAATATGTAATAGACATCATATGTTTACATGGCATGATTAAATATCAAGGTAAAAAAACACAGAAATAAGATCAAATTGAAAAAATTGGATCAGTCACTATGCCATCTATGCATTAAAAATCCGAAAAGCATATACACTGCTGGTATGCTTTATTGCAATCAGACAGGAACTACTGGGGGTATTCTCAAATACATGTAACAGCATCTGATGAGCATCCACCTTTCCTAATGTCCCGCTGTTTGGGTTGAAGAAATTTTGTCAAGGTGGCCAGATGCCCAGTCCCTGTGTCCGTCACGGTCGAGGGAGCAGATACCGACAATCTTGCAGTTTGGTTTGGTAATTAGACTGTTGGCGAGAAACATTAATCGCTCTGGATCAGTTCCCTCTAATTACATTGGGATATACATGTAATGAGAAGAAGCATGAAAGTGTACATTCGATTTCGAAATGGCTAATGCTCAACTTTGAACATAAGTTTATTCCTACACCTCGTTGGTGCAATATGCCGAAGGCCAAAGACAACCCACGACGAAGAAATACCGATACCTTGAACGACATCTTCAAGAACTGAGACACCAGTTTCAAAATAAAATGGAATGTTAACTGTTAGACAGTTTGCTGATTCAGCGTCTCTTCTTTCACATCTTTCATATATTTATAATGTACTTATAAATGTGTATGTATATTTATAATTATGTAATATTTTGAAACATTTCATAATATGATGTAATATAACTATTTATAAAAAATCCTGTAATATGTAGCATGTTGTAACATGATTAAATAAAATCTGTCCATATAGTCTCCCGTTACCACTCGTGGCTTACGCCTTCTATGTTTTTTTATGTGTTTTATATTTCAATGTTTATATGCTGAGACTGAAATGAAACACTATCTTTATACATATATTTGCCTCGTTTTCTCATTAGGTGTGTTCTCATTCGCATAATCCGGAATATCCTCTTCTATCAACACGTAGGCCTATCATTGTCTCTATAATCCAATGTTAATTTGCTAACGGACGGGACATCAACATTTCTCTTAACTCATCTGTTTGGACCAAAGGTCGATAGAGGGGAGTTTCCATGTATATTCTCACGCCGTTATCAAGATAACAGTTACCAGGTGAACAGAAGTATATATGCATAGTGACTAGCACCAAATTACCACCAGGTGATTCAGCAAGTAGCACATCGT